AATCAACGTTATTTAAATTTATTTATTTTTCGACCTCAAAATGTTTACCATTTCCATTCGACCATATCGAAATGTTTATCATTCGTCTTTAAAAAAAATAGATAGCCTTTAAACCACTTTTTGACGGGAATGTGTCAGAATAGAAGTTTTTTAAGGCGGAACAACACAGTAAAATTTTAAAAAGATGAAGAAAAAAATGCATTTTTCGATTGTTTATCCTTTTAAGATTATTGTTAATTTTCGTAAAAATATGTTTCTCTTATTTGCAGTTTTGCTAATTAATACAATTTTCTACATATTTACTTCAAACTTTGACATTTAGAATGAATATAGTTTTCCTTGCACGTGGGAATTTTTAAATGGGTTGACAGATTTTAAGTAATCCCTGAAAATGTAACTCAATTTTTAAAATTTTTTTTTCAAAACATGGCCATTTTGTAAAAAAAAAATTACTTTTTTCTTAAGAAATCCTTCTTGCATAGAAAATTACGTTCATGTAGTTAAAAGAAATCAAAACAGAATCAAGTTTGGGGGATTTCTTTTATCTTATGAGTACAGTAAGTTCTGGATAATTTAAAAAAAATTATAAACATTGGATGTTATATAAGTGCTAATTTTTTAAATTTTCATAACTGCAACATGATAAAATGATGAATAAAATATGCCAATAAGATTAAAAAAAAAAATGTTTTGAGTTAATCCCGATTGTAGCAAAACTCACGAAAAAAATTATTGTAACAAAATTCATGTCTAATAGGAATGTAAAAATTAATTTAAAGCATTTAAGTAACAAGATTGTCTGGTGTATTTTTCTTAAATATAACTCATTATTTATGATGAATACACAGTATTACGTACGATAAGTAGTGTTTCTTAAAATGAATTGACATATACTATCATTCCATTTTGTAAAAGTAAATTACATTTAAACTATTCTCTATAACTGAATTCCGATAGTTATTTTCGATAACCTGATTGCTGCACTATGCATTCACAAAGGAAAGAGCTTTGAAGATTACGACCTATAATGAGTTTTAAATCTTTTCTCTGGAAATTTTTAAAGCAGTGAATGTTATCCTCCAATTCGAAGAAAAGATTTAGACTCTATGACGCTTTTCATTTCAAATAGTAGTGGCAGAGTATAATTTACGGAAACAATCTCGGTTCCGTACAGACAGGATTCGCTTGATTGAAGATGATGCGATTTTGAGCGCTTCCCGAACTGTCGTTAGAAGACCTTTAATGACACTTTCTGACATGTATTAGCGCAAACTTCTTTTACTTGATGAATATTTTGTCGATCAGATCATGATTTATTTTCTAAACAAACTAGTAATTATGTAGGGGTTGTTATTTTGCTGTGTTTCGTTATCGATTCAGCATCTAATAAACATTTATTCAGGCATTAACAATTATAAAAATCAAATGCATTTTATGAATACAATTTCGTATGTTGCTATTACGGATAAGATAGCACTATATCATGACTCAACTACTCGTGCTAAAACAAAATGTCACAACTAAAGAATTCTTGAAAGAAGTTAATGCTAAAATCGAAATTATGAGCTAATTTTAAATGGTTATTTTTGCTGAAAAATTCAGGATGGTAATTATGCCTAATGAAATTTGTGTTTTAAGACGAAAATGATTACTTCCCATATTTGTGCTAGGTAGAGAATTGAATTGAATATCGGGATTAATGGATCAAGGTGCAAAAATAAAGTGCCAAACAGTTTATTAAGCTTATCAAAAGATAAGAAACTACAAATTTTCTTACTAAAACACGTGAAATTGTTAAAACGATAAACAATACACAATTGCTTTCAAAAGTGAATAAAATCAAATACAAGTGTAAATGCGTTAAAAAATACACAAAATAAATGAAAATATTAAGTGGCTAATTAAAACAAAGTAAATAAATAGTGACTAATAAAAACAAAGTAAATAACACGAAGAAGTGCAAAGATCGTTGAGTGAAGGGTTTAATTTTAAAAAATATTTTATATATAAAATAGAGCTACTGAAGAATAAGATGTTGCTGCTTAAAATATGATCTAACAATCAAAGTGTGATAGAGCACGATGGGCTAACTGCGACGGTCTGACAGACATCAATGAGGATGATTCAAAGACATGATATCATAGTTTTAATTCTCTGCAGAGGATATGGTTTTCCGCGTTGGCAACCCGTTTAATAAATTCCAATGGCGTGTAAGAATGCAAAAATGTTAGGATGGTGATTATTATCTAACAAGTCTTTGATACATAAAATCATGCTTCCAAAAAGATGAAGTGATGTTGGTTAAAACATGGGCAAGCTTTTCTTTTCTTCCAGACGTGGACACGTACATGGGACGTGGACATGGACATGGGCAAGCTATTAAATTATGAATTGAAAATAAAATGTTACAAATATCGCATCGAGGAGGCGGTTCTCCGAACCGCAAATGAGGATTAGTCGGTCGAGTATGTCCTATACGTTGGTGAACTTGACATCTGCTCCACGCAATTGCAACACATGCCAAGGATCTAACGTGGATTTAATAGTGTGCAGTTTGTTCTCAATTTGTAAATCCCAATGTTGCTGCCACAAAGACATAATAAAATGTTGTATATAATTCTTCATGTCAGAAATGGGAACTGATAGCGTTAATGGAGTCGTAGCAGATCGGGCAGCAGAATCAGCCATGCCATTACCTGAAATACCAACATGGCTGGGGTTCCAACAAAACAAAATGTTGAAAACATTTATGAGAAAACTAACAGTTGTTCAATGATACATAAAATAGCGTGAGCTTCGTTGTTTACATAATTCGGCTGACCAAAAACACTTCAGCTGTCAGAGTAAATGCAAAACTTTCATGCTCTCAGTGATGAGATAAGTCGTAGAGCTATGAGAATGGCTACAGCTTCAGTGGTAAATACAGAACGTATGACACGTATGATATAACTGTATGTTCGATCAGCTATAATGATTCCACGTACAACATGCCCTGAAGATTTTGACCCATCCGTAAAAACAGAAACATACAGAGAATACTCATGACAGTGAGAGATGAACAGCTGAATATACACGCTAGGAGCTATACTGGATTTTCTGTATAAAGCAAATGGAGAATGAAAGTGTTACAACGGAATAACCCAAGGTTTGTTAAGAAAGTGATCGGCTGATTGAGATGGTGATTTGCCAAAATTGAATGACTGAACGCACACAAACATTAAAAGGGGGGTATGTATGACGGTAACATGTCATATGATCGTCGCAAGTGTAGTGGAATAACTTCATGTCGAAGAGGATGTGACTTAGATGACATAACGCGAAAATAAAACGTAAGATAGATCTGCATACGTCGAAAATAGAGAGGTATTAAATTACATATACCATAAAAACTTTCGACTGGGGATATTCGAAATGCGCCGCTACATATTCACATTGCAGTATGGTGCATAGTATCATACGCCGCTACATATTCACATTGCAGTATGGTACATAGTATCATACTGCTTCAAATTTGAAGCAATAGCAGACTGCGTAAGGGTAATCTATGAGTGATAATATCAACGCCTCGTAGATTCAGATTATGCGATCTGCATCCCAGAAAGTATATTAGAGAACACGCAACACATTTAAATTTTTTTCACAGGGTTTTCTAAGATAAAAGTGAGTTAGTTGTCAAAAGTTACGCCTAAATATTTTAATTCCGACACAATAGGTATATTAACATTATGAATGGAAATAACAGGATCATTGTGTAATATGCCTAATCGGCAAAAATGCATGCAAGAGCTTTTAGAGGGCGAAAGTGTGTGGCCATTTTGAAATCTTATTGACAGTCAGCTGTGTGTGGAGTTGACGCTCAATAACGCGCATATCAGTGCTCCAACATGAAATAGTTAGATCGTCAACATAAACTGACAAAGGCGTTATGAATTCGGGACTCTAAAGCAATAAGGCTACCAGTAGTTGACCTTCCTTTTCGAAAACCACTCTGGAACTCAGGTACATGATGGTTCTCTTCTAGGAAATACACTAAGCTGGTATTAACCACGCACTCAAAGGTCTTTCCCAGACTGCTTGTAAACACTATCGGGCGATAGCTTTCCGGGTGAGGATCCTTGCCTGGTTTCAATGTAGGGATCATAAATGTCTCACTCCAACATGATGGGTAAGTCTGTCCCGTCCATATTATATTAAATAGAACCCACACGTTACACAAAGACGTCATATCCAAATGGCAGAGCATGTGGTATGTTATCCCTTCGAGACCAGAGCTTGCTTTCGCAGGTGTTGATAAGGCCTTCTGCAAAATTAGGAGTGGTAAACCACAAGTTGTGTCATTACAGTTAGGACCAGAGCATCAAGAACAAATATGCTTGCTACGCCCTGCAAAAAATGACCAATAGAAATCAATAAAAAAAAATGTATTGATCTGTACGGGGAAATGGAACACTGATATCAATAGAGTAGATCAATACAATGGACTGGTCATGATATATTGATATCAGTAGAGTAGGTCAATACAATGTATTGGTCTATATCAGTAGAATGGACTGGTCTGTACGGGGAAATAGAACACTAATATCAGTAGAAGGGACTGGTCTGTACGGGGAAATAGAACACTAATATCAGTAGAAGTGACTGGTCTATACGGGGAAGTGAAACATTGATATCAGTAGAATGGACTGGTCTGTACGGGGAAATGTAACACTGATATCAGTAGAATGGACTGGTCTGTACGGGGAACTGGAACACGGATATCAGTAGAATGGACTGGGCTGTACAAGGAAATGAGACGCTGACATCAGAAAAATGGACTGGTCTGTATCAGTAACGTAGACTGGTCTAGCTTAGGAAAAACAACATTGATGTAAGCATATTAGTCAGGTTTAAACAGAAAAATGCAACATTCATGTAAAGAAAAAATTAAACAACTTCAATAATTTAAAATAAAAATATTTTAAGACTAAATAACAAAAATTCCAAAACTGAAAGGAGCAAAATAAAAATGTATTTATAAATGAAACTAAACATATAAAAAAAATTTATTTAGTTCTATTTAACGTTGCTATTTTTTCAGCTATGATGGAGTTAATTTTCGAAAATCGCTTTTCCATCTCTAGTTCAGATGCAGCTCCTTCCTCAACAATTCTATCTCGCACCAATTCTAAAAAATACAAAATTTTATATTACAATTCATATGAAAATTAGAACATTATAAAATGCATTTCTAACATATTATGTAAAACCTGTTCACTAAATTGGAAGGGCAGCCGCTCTGTCCCCTGAACCATCACTGTTATGAAAGTACTAGCGGGTCAAAACTAGAAGAAACTCAGTTATTTTGGAAGACTAATGAAAATAATCAGTTTTAGTTCTCTATTTCGCACAATATCTCGTGCACTTTATCACAAACCTATCCCTAGTTAAGTTGTCTCAATTCTAAGTTAAGTTGTATAGAATGTCACTGATATGTTTTGGAAATTAGTGTATCATTCTTCAAATTGTGTTAAATTTAATTGTTCATATTATTTACATAATGTGTCCACAAATAAATGTAAAACAAATTTTATTTTACAAATATTTCTTTGACATTGATGAAGCCTGGATACTTTTGAAAGATTTTTTTTTATTCATGAAGAAAATATCATTAGTCTTCATATTAAAAATTTATTTGGATGGAATTAACAATCATTTCAAAAAGCTACTTGGATATGCAAGATTTTTATAAATGAATAAAAAAAATAGGCTTAAATTGCATATTGTATGCATATTTGGCACAAAACTAAAAGGTTTTGCACACCATAATCTTTATAACGTCATATATTTTGATATATTAATGCTTGCAAAAAATGCATAACATAGATTAAATACATGGTGAGCAGCATTAATCTATTCAATTTAAGATATTCAACATAAACAGCTAGTATAAAATTAATAAATTAGAAACAACTGTGAAAAATTACTTCTTATGTAGGCCAACTTTTTTGGATCTAAAGCTGGCTTTACTGTTGAATTTTTTGATGCGTTGCTTTTGTGGCCAGTCACACTTGAACGAGCTAACGTTTCAACATCAAATAGCATGACGGCTAAATTTTTTATGAACATGCAATCCCCAGCAACACCATCTTTTACACTAAATTTCGCTTTAGCCATCATTTCTTCCGTTAGTTTTAAATTCTCCTAAAAATTAAATACATATTTATAAGACATATTCACATAATCTATTCAAATAAATAAAATTAAAATATATCAAATGATATTAAAATAATCTTCATTAATTAATAAAAGTTATTTTCTCAACTTAACAGATTTTACACAAATTTCCCGAGAAACATTTGAAGTAACCACATAATTTTCTTCAACTTGAAAACTCAAAAAAGTTTATTTCACAATCAAACACATATTATCAGACAAATGTAATTAATAAACAAATTAAAACACGATAACAATAATTTTTGGGTTCTAATTTTAAATCAAATCCAGCATTCATTTCACTGAATGAATTAAAAAATTGTGTTTGTTTAAACTTGCAAGCACATTCATCTCAGTGACTATTGACTTAATTTTATTTTTAAGATTAGAGCAAGGAAATAATTTACATTTGAATGCCATAATTATGTCAAACATGTTCATAAATGATCTGACCCTTGCCTTGTAATAATAAATTTAAATTGGGATAGTGCTTGCAACTGTATGCTTTCCGCAACTGTATGGAGACAAAGAAATTGTTTGAAAAGCCTTCAAATTTTCAGGACAAGCAATTTCTGCAGCTTTAATTAGACACTCCTTGATGAAATCACCTTCAGTAAAAGGCTTGGAGTGTTTAGCTATCAGCTTGGACAAGATGTAACTTTCATGTACCGCCCTTTCATTTTCTTACAATTCTTTACTAAATATTCCATACTCATACTTCATTTTCATACCAAATTTAACTCTTCAAACTTTTCTTGTCTCATAAATCCTTCGTAATTATCATATTTTGATTGATGTTTTTCGTAATGGCGTTTAATATTATACAGGGTGTCCCAAAAGGTCGTTTACAAACTTANTGGATGTATGAATATGCTTAGAATGTAAGAATATATGCATGGATTTTCTACAACGAAAGTGAAATGTTTCTTACTTTTTCTATAGTGCTGGGCTACTTATGGCAAAAAAATTAAAGGGCAATTTATTGACTGTTTATGGGGATAGTAACATTTCCCTCTGTTTTCTAGTAAAAGATTCAAAGATTGCAAGATTCATAGCAGCATTAAATGTTTTTTTTTTCTTCTCTATTTTATGGTTTAATTTTTTATTCTTTTTCTTTTTAAAATTCCTTTTTTTGAATTTTTTATTTTATTCCATTCATTTTTTTAAACTTTTTTAAATTTATTTTTTAATTTTTCTATTTTATTTATACATTTATTTACGTATTTATTTTGTGTTTTTCAAATATTTTTTTATTTCACTTTTCGCTACTTGATTATGATAACTTCTCAGTTATTCAGTCATATTATTATGCAATCTTGAGAGAAACTATACTTGACAATCAGTCAAGATTTTCTATAATTTTTGTTGACCGGAGTTCTTGCTGAGTTGTCAGACAAACAAACCTGTCGGAAAATTGAGCTATCAAGCAAACGGCGTCGTGATGTGTACGTGTACCAAGAGATGTGTATGTGTTACAAAAAAAAATCATTACCATGCTAAATATTATATCAAAAGAGCGGTTTCTCTTTTATGTTCTTTATGTTACTGTTCATAAAATAATACCGTCTAATCTAATAAATGATCAGTTTTCTAATATAATGCGATTTTGTCAAATTTATATCAAAGTATAATGCATTTTTTAGAATGATACGTATCAATAATGGAAAATTTGAAAAATCATTTCACAGGCAGTTAAAAAGAGATCCTCAAGAAGAATTAATTTTCGTATTTGTTAGATGTTCAATATTTTTAATGCATGCATTCATTTATTTCTTGATACTATTTTTCTATTACTTCCCAACTCCCATTATTTTTTTGGCAATCATCTTCATTTCTCGCTTCAAAACATAAATTTCATGAAAAAAAAATTTCTAGTTTTCTATGATAGATAGACGTTAGCCTCCTTACTTTTTGTGCTTTCATATTCAACTTAGAAAATAATTACCTACTGACAATGAAATAAATTTCTCTGAGGAGAACTTTTCGGGTCAAGAATAAATTAGGTTGCATTTATAATTGTTTACAGGTGAGAGCGAAAACTTTACAAATAAAACTCTCAAACTACCTATATCATGATATGACAGACCAGCATGTTAAGTTTGTAAACGACCTTTTGGGACACCCTGTATAACTTCAGTACATCAATGGTACTATTGCAAATCAAACATATTATTTTACCATTTACTTCACAGCAAAAATATTCCTATTTTATTTGGAATATTCAATGTTCGTCGGCGATTTTTCGTTTGGTTTTACTACCACTTGGCTTAGATATAGACATACTGAATACAAACGGCTGAAATAGATAAGCAATTGAACCAAAAATAATAAAAAAATTTTATTACAATATCAATGTTTTGTCTTGAATGTTAACTTACCAAGCACAAATATAGAGAATAACAGCATAAGGCAATAAGTGTAATATAAATTAAGCAATAATCATAACCACTTGTAAGATAACGTATGTATAACTACGTATTATTAGGTTAGGTGTATCAACTGATGCGTAGCAGTTTGCCGTTGATAACTTAGTCTCTGTCCGTTGACAACTTAGTTCCTGCCGTTGATAACTACCCTGTCCAATTAGAATTTTACATTTTCGTGAGTAAAATTTAAAATGATCCGTATAGTTGAGAAATAAAGTATATTATAATTTTATATGCTGGTTATTTTTACGTTGAACCGAATATATTGATTCGGCTGCAAAAATGTTAATCTCTGGCCGCGAGTTTGATACCCCTGGTGTACAGGTTCTCCATTCTACTTTTCAAAACATTAATAGCAATAAATACCTCAGAAGCAGTTTCTAAGGACTTAGATTACCATAATTTACAATTTATATTATGCAAGACTTTCAACAAAATTAATATTTAATATTATTTTTGACATTTGATTAAAATGTTACAATATAAATGCTTTAACTAGACTGAACAAACAAAAAAAAACGTTCAGTAGATTTGTACATTAAAAAGGAAGAAATAAAACTTTTAGATAACTCCAACCTAAATTAAGCCCTTTTTCCTGATCTTTTAGGCACCAATTTTTCCAGATTGATAAAATTCTATTTTCCCTGATAATTTTGCTCTTTTGCTCTTTGACTACCCAGTAAATGCTGAAGAGCTTACCATTTCTAATTCTACAACTTCCATTGCTGATTTAATTTCGGCAGGCTTGGAAGTTGATGCCTGTGGCTGAGACTGGAGGTCGCAGGCTTCGGCTGATGACTCACTTAAAACTAACGGCTTAAGTTCAGATGATGATGGCTCTGTGGCTAGAGGTGTTGAATTTTTAGAAACATTTAAGCATTCAGGACTTATTCCTGTGATAAATTTTTGTTGGTACAGAATATTTAATGCCAACACTTCCTCTAAATTTTTTTGTGTGACTTCTAACTTATTTTGTATGATAAGGAATTGGAAGCCTTTAATTTTCTTATTTTTTTTCATATTCTGCCACCATGTCCTTGTGTACTTCTATTGGGATGACTGAGTCATCCTCATCACTATCTGAATTCAGCTCCTGGAATGGCAACTCAGTCAAACTTTTTTTCATCCCTTGCTGGATTAAAGTCTTCTTTCCCTATTAAATAGGTCAAACTAATTAAAAATAAAAAATCTTTACTTGAAATACTATACAAATACTATAATTGGATCTCACTCTAAGAAAAACCGGTTATTATAAAAATTCCTACAAATTAAAGACTTTTTAAATCCCTATTCTAATTAACATTAAAAAAGTGTAGTACAAAGACTAATATTATAAAATGAATAAGGTTGAAAATTAGAAAAGACAAGCAATAAAGCAAAAATAAATTTTAATATTACAAATATTAGCATATTTAACAAAACAGCGTAACTTATGCTAGTTGATATTTGATATTCTCGTACCTTCTTATTCGTTTTTTGATGAAGGCCCTTCTTTATCTGCAGGGATATGCTTCCGATTTTCCTTGGCTTCTAATTTCGCTGCAAGCTGTTCTTCATTCACTAAATATTAAAATATCAAATAAAACATTTGTACACACATAATTATTTTATTAAAATTAATTTAATAAATTCTATTATAAACTAAATATCTGGATACTTAATAGCTGATTAGGTAACAATAAAATACAATTATGAAAAGACCCACTCTGGTTTTTTATGTGGGGTAAAATCATAACAACCCTGCATATTGCATTCTTACTATGAAGGTTAGTAAAGATAAGACATGAAACTCACTTTATTTTTACTGATTTCATCATAAATCCAAGTGACCTTTTGACAGTTTTTTTTTTGCAGACATTACTGTCAATTTTCATGTGGTTTTTAAATACATTATTTTAATATGATACAGTCAATACACTTAATATTATATTCTGATTCATGAGTTTTGCATTTTGTTAATCAATTTCGATTTTGTTATTTGCATTTTGTTAATCGATAAGATGCTTAGATGGTTTCAACAGCTTTCTCGTGGTTCAAAAACTGAACATATACAATTAATTTCTTAAAAGTTTTTAATGTTTACAAAGAGAAAATTTCTCAGATTAGAATACATCTGCAAAACTCCTAAACATAAGTTCTGTCAGCCAAATACTACTCTGTCAATATTTTAAGCGAAATATTTCTTTTCTGTAATCTTTCTTTATCCCAGATTTTCTAAATCTTACATCAAATAATATTACATCTTATACTCTGATAGGATGAAAGCTACTCGCCAAAGAAATAAAAAACTATTTGTAGAAAATTGAATTGCAGTAACCTAGGAAATGGAAATATACTCTAATATTAGAACCATCGACTACCGTCTCAACATCTTCTATTCAATATCTTCTTTAAGTCGGTTGTTACGATATATTTATCCGTTTTATTCAAGAGTATATTTGAATTAATTTTTAAGATCTACTTCTTGTTTGGAAAGCAAAGTT